AAAGAAAGGAAGAAAGAAAGAAAAAATTGCATTATCAAGTAATGAGGCATGCTCAGTTGAGGTTCTGGAAACTGAATTAGCTGTGGACAGATCAGCAGGGTTTCATTTCTCCAGCTGTTCCCTAGGCCAGGAATAATAAAAAACATAGGGCCGTAGAGGATTAAGAGTGAAGTAAAAGCAGTCTTAAACTGAGTCCAAAGAAATCTTACATTGAGTCTTCAACACCCGACCAGCCCTTTAAGGTGTGGCCCATTGCACTAAACTCAACATATTTTCTCACAATCCAACCTTCCATTCTTGCCACACAACTGCATTGAATAATTGTCAGAGGCCGCTCAAAACCCGCCATTCACGAGCTCCATCAGATCAGCAGTTCTGTATTTGGACAATTCATAGATAAACTCCGAGCACATTGTATCTTACAGACCTGCTTCGGTGTCCTCAATGAATGAGTAGGGAAATGTTATCTTAGAAATTTTATGTGGCATTCCCGATGTCATGTAGGCTTGCTTGGCGACAGAGTGGGAACGAGAACCCAGGACTCCTGACCATCAACATACAACACTGCCCATCATTCGTGAGGGAAGAAAATGAAATGGGAAGCAGCAAGTGCAAAATCTCTGAAGAGCTAATAACATCTCCCTGCAGAAAATATTACTTGAGATTTTTCCAGTGAGGAGCCCTTTGCTCTGAAGGAGTAGAGCATTTCCTTGCTGTTACTCATCTTTTCTTCATCCTTGCCCATCGTCCTAGGCACTAAGCATGACATCTGCCACATTGCACAGATTTACCTTCAGGGCTGCTTCTGCTTCTTCTAAAGCTGGTTTTGCTGATTCCAGTTTCTCTTCGGCAATGGCTTTATCTTTAGAGATGCCGTCCACGATGGCTTGGGCTTTGTCCTTCACCTTCTGTACCTCAGCTTTGACCTTCTCGGCGGCCTGTGCTTTCATTGTCACTTCTTTTAAGACCTAATTCAATATAAAACAAAAAAACATCTCGTCAAACATACGCTGTCAAGCTGAAAATGCACATTTTCCCTTGATCTGTTGATTGTGTCCACTTCTAGGGTATTTCACAGGAAAATTAAGAGTACTATATTCTATTGGAAATAATATATCCTTTCATGGTTACAATGTAGTGAAGACGTATAGATCATTAACATTTATTACCAGGAATGTAAAACACAAATAGTATATGCATGAGTGCCCACACACCATGTCGGCTTTATCATTGGCCACTTGGAGCTCCTTTTCTTTCGCTTCCAGTTCTTTGCTCAGGGCTGCAACAGACTCTGAGGCTTCTTTTAGCTTCTCCAATCCAGTATTCATTCTAGGATTGAACATCCAAGCAAGCCATGTTAAAATGTGTGGTATTTGGCCACATTTTCCAAGCACTGATCCATTAATATGGATAGTAGTGGTCATATCTGAAGAATGAGTGTATGAGCAAATAGCATATCCAAGAGGGCTTGACAAAAAGAATATGCACCCAGGGTTGATACCAGACTGAACACAGGTGTATGTTTTTCATAGACTGCATGTGGGAGCATGAACTCATTATAGCCCTGCATAACATGAAGAATGATGATGGGTCTAGAAGCTGTATCATGCAGAATACATGCTTAATGAAGTTTAATTAAATGACAATAGACTTCAAATGCTTGAAGCCCTAGCTCAGAAGAAGAAAAATAAATAATTTCTGTTTAAAAAAAAAAAAAGACTAATTAAATTAAAAGAAGAAAGGTTTGGGATCAAGGAAAGAAACAAATTTGAAGTCATCAGAACAACCCTGTGAAGGGACCACTCACTGTCTGGACCTGAGATAATGAGACCTCAAAGACCAGAGCTCTCAGAATCAGTCAGTCCAATCTCCCACCCAGGGTCCCTTATGGAACAGCCCTGCTGGTTCTGGCTATATGTAGGCAGAAGCTAGAAATGATCAGAAAAAAGCAGGCAGAGCAGTGAAACCTGGAACAGCTTGAAGCAGGGTATTCACCATGCAGTGAACATCAGCATCACCCAGACTCTCCTATCCTAGACACCCAGAAAGGGTGGGAAGAGAAGGACAAGAGAGGGAGACAGGAGTTATTTCTACCATTATAACATTTGGTATTATAACAAGTGGTAGGCCACATAAACACCTGGCAATATTTTATTCTACTGGGCAAGAAGAAAGCTCCAACAATCATGGAATAATCCTTTGAATAGGCTTGAGAGGGGGGTGTCTTGGCCTCAGCACTATTGGCATTTGGGGCTGGATGATTCTCTGCTGTGGAGGGCTGTCCTGTGCACTGTAGGATGTTTAGCAGCATCCCTGACCTCCCCTCATCTGACACCAGTAGCACCCCTTCCCAGCCCCTACCACCCAAGTTGTAACAAAAAAAAATGCTTCTAGTCTTGCAAAATGCTCACTAGGAAACAAACGTGCCCCCAGTCAAGAACCACCGTTTTAAAATAACCTTATATCTGACCTTCACACTTGACGCTTACCTACTGGCTAGAGTTTGCACTTCCACATGTTTTTCTCTGTACGTGCACTTATAGCCCTGAATAAAGGAGAGGTAGGACTTGGGAGTCACGTGAGTAGAGCGTCGGAATCTCTGGAAATAGTCAACACACTTCTCAGCCACCCCATCCTGGAAGGAGCCCATGCACTGGACCACTTCCTTCTTGGTTTCCAAACTGCAGTCAATGTCATAGGAGGACAGGAAGTGTTCGGACACTAGAAAGAATAAAGATGGCAGCGTGTGAAATAGGAACGTGAACTGCCATTTTAAAAGTTAACGGGCTATTTTTGAAACATTTAGACATTTCTCGGGACTCCATACCATTTTTATAGCCCCAGCTAGGTAGATATCTGTCGGCATTTTTGGCCCCAGGCCTACGACTTCAACAATTTTATTTTCCCTTTCATGTACAAAACTATAACAGAGCTCAAGACTCTCATCAGTCTTTATTTTCTGGTACTTATGCAAAGAAGTCTCTTCTGCCCGGCTGCAGGCTCTGCTCAGCAGCCAGCCTATTCTACGCTGTTCTATACATAAGGGTCCAAGTGGTACAAATAACTCAAAATTCAGTGCCCACCTGGTACTCATATTTAACAAACCCATTTATTTTTAAGCGCAGAACCTGTCATACCCTTAATTCCCCCCAAGCTCTGACTGCATTTGGTATGTGGAATGTTTGTCACTAAGTTTTTTTATGCCTGGGCCATCTTGTTCCCAAAAGTGGCTGCTGGCCACTTGCAGTCAATTCTAATTTACAGCGTCCTTTAAAAATGTTTGGGTAAAAACCTCCTGTTGGAGACCTTCATCTTCCCAACAGCACCAATCGTGGGACCAATTCTAAGGCAGCATTTCCTATTATAGGAATAGGCCATAAAGTCAGAGCTAATCAATTACCATGTACACATCGGTGTCTGCCACCCTTTCACCCCTGTGATAGGGCCATGCAGAGAGACTAGTATGAAACTTGGTCTCAACCCTAAAGAATTTACAAAGGTTATGCATGATACAGTTAAAAATTATTATACCATCTTTACATAGGTTGGAAAAAATTGCCTTTGGATTTGCTTGAAAAGTACTTAGAATATTGAGTAATATACATAAGGGTTGCAAATAGAAATATGGCCAATAAAAAGGGAAGGAAAGAGAAGGAATCAAGTAAACAAACCTATCAGGTGAGAGTTGGCAAAGCTATAAAAAATGATTAGTAATTGATCAGTAAATTAATTTATTAAAGCAGTAATTGTGGGGCAGCATTTACATCTATGTAAATAATGGGTACCATATATCAGCTTGGTTATAAACAGTTTACCATAGACACTGGAAGGCAATAAATCAAGACTCAGAAGTCATATTTTCTCATGAGTTAAGCAACCTCTACAAAGAACATTTTAAATTCCAGGAAGTTTAAGTCTAGGCACTGGAAACATAGGAACAATCCTTGCTTATGATAAAGTTTTTGTAGGTATTAAGTCCAACAGCTGCAATATTCACCATGCACCACACATGATACTAGGTGCTTTACTTGGCATTATGGTGTATCTTCAGCGAAGTTCCCACTTCCCGAAAACCCCCTTCTATTTACCATGTAATGAATATTTTCCTTTTTATATGAACAGAAGGTATCAATAATGGTGACTTCTTTCTTTATATAGCAAGTATTCTTTTTGTCTCTCCAAAAAGTCAAAGAGAATAAAAATAGGGTGGATTCAAAGTATATTTTTCCAAAGACCCCAATCTCTGGTGCAAGAAAGGTTATGAAAAGAATCAGATCACTGTCACTTGGGGTGACATGGGGTGACCCATGACTGCTAAGACTCAAGCAAGAGGCCATGGAAAACCCTTCCAAGGTCATCATCATCCAATCACCAAAGCAGCAATGCCAGTTTGGGAGCCCACCTTCAGACTAATGCTTGAGGTTGGTGTGGGTTATATTTTGGTAATGTGTGTTCATATCACCTGATGGGGATTAGGTGAGATATGTGTGGGACAGAGAGGAGAATGCTGGGCTCCGTCACTGAATTTTGGTGTCCTTGGATTTCTACCTCATTTTGATTAAAAGAACTAAAGTCACAAAGTGAAAAAGGCACATTGGTTGCCTGTCCAGTAGCCATCCCCTCTCTTTGTTACTAAAAGAATCTCTATTTTGCGCAGGGTAACAATCTGCCCAACTAAAATCCTTTGATTCCCCCAGACTCTCTTATAAGTAGGGGTGACCCAGTTCAGGCCAATGACATGTAGACAAAAGTTCTTGGGGAAGAACACTGTCCTGAGATAAAAGGCAAACTTCAAAGGCATCGACAAACATGATGTTTGGGGATGCAGCAGCTACCTTGTGCCTGTAAGAGTAAGAGCCACACCCTGAGGATGACAGCAAGAGAGAAGGAGTAAAATCCCCCAATGGCATCATCCTGGATTGTACAGCTCTGCATTTTCTTGGTAGCAGGAAAAAGGAGGAGGGAAAAAAAATACTTGTTTGAGCAACGACTTCTCTGGTGTTCTCTTACAGCCAAACACATCTTAACTGATACATTCAGAGGGCAAGCATGTCTAATCTTGGCAAATCCTAAATCACAAAACTGTATCAGTTAATCCTTACAACATCCCCAAGTGATGAATTTTAATATGTACCTCTTGTAGATAAGAATAATAGGGCTTAGAGAATTTACTTGCAGATAGCAGATGTGCAATTCTAACCCAAGGATGATGGACTCCAAAGTCCATGTCACCTTGATTTAGAAATTCAAAGAGAACCAAACTATGTAGTCTTTAGAATGCTAAGCAAACATGTTTAATTGCACCCAAGGTTCAGAAATATTTACTGACTACTCTGCTTCATAAACAAAAGGTGCGAATTTTTCTGGAAAACCATGGGTACTATTGTGGTTGGTATTACTTTCTGAGGGGTCATTATGTGCACTTGCCTCATTTACGCTATATCACTAGTTGTGAGCAAATGCAGAAGCAGGGGAGGCTAATTCATAAGACCAAAATCTTATATATTATAAATCAAGTAATAATCTTCAAAGAGGGCCATTTTATTTACATAATTAAAATGGCCTACCTTGAAAAAAATATGCCATATATATATATGCTATTGATTTTGCTTGAGACTTTATTTTCAAGTGAAGATGGCCTATTCTCATACAATGGGCATGTTTAAAATGTAATCTAGAAGAACATTAAAAATTGTCTTTACCTTGGAGAAATCTAAATGAAGTGCATGCATTTAGCAGTGACATTAGAATCACAGAATAGCATTAAGAAATACAAGACTACCATCTTAACAATACTGGAATTAAAAGAAAAAAACCTAATAAAAAATGAAATAGAAAAGGAGAATCAAAATGCCTCAGCTGGTAGAAATCTCTGCCCTTCAGTCTCTAAAACAAACAAACAAAAAAATTAAAACTGTAACACAACACTACAAATTGATGCCAATATCCCTAAACAAACCTCTGAAAAAGTAGAAACTGCTTTAAATCAGAAATTCAAAATTAAAAAGAAACTGACCAAATAATGTATCAAGAAGAAATGCAAAAAGAATTGACTGAACTCAGGAAATAAAAAGTAAAAGACAAACAGCTTAGTAAATAAACTTTAGTTATTAAAATACTATAAAATATTGTATTAACCTTCTAAGCATCTTTATTTATTTTTTTTTATTTATTTGTGACAGAGAGCGAGAGAGCACAAGTGAGGGGGAGTGGGGCAGGGGCAGAGGCAGAGGGAGAAGCACTCTCGTGCTTAGCAGGGAGCCCAGACGCCTGGGATCATGACCTGAGCCAAAGGCAGACTCTTAACCGACTGAGCCACCTGGGCACCCCCTGAGCATCCTTAAATTAGAAAAATACTCTATACAATAACAATAACCCAAAAAAGAAATTAAGAAAGCAGTCTAATTTAGAGTAGCATCAAAAAGAATAAAATACGTAGAAATAGACTCCACCAAAGGAGATGAAAGACTTGTACACTATAACTATAAAATACTAATGAAAGAAATTAAACACAAATATATGGAAAGACATCTCATATTTAGAATTATTATTTTTAAATGTCTATACTACCCAAAACAATCTACAGGTTCAATACAATCCCTATCAAAATTCCAATGGCATTTTTTTTACAGGAATATAGAAAACAATCCTAAAATTCATATGGAACAACAGAAAATCCCAAATAGCCAAAGCAATTTTGAGCAAGAACAAAGTGGGAGGCATCACACTTTCTTGACTTCAAAATATCTTACAAGGTTACACTAATCAAACAGTATGATATTGGCATTAAAAGTAGACCTATACACCAATGGAAGAGAAGAAAGTGAGAAATAAACCCATAATATGTGGTCAACTGATTTTTAACAAGGCTGCCAAGAATATACACAATGGGGAAAGAATAGTCTCTTTAATAAATGGTGCTGGGAAAACTGGATATCTACATGCAAAAGAATGAAATTGGACCCTTGTCTTACACCATACACAAAAATCAACTCAAAATAGATTAAAGACCTAAACGTAAGACCTGAAACCATAAAACTCCTAGAAAAAAACATAATGGGTAAACTCCTTGACATTGATCTTGGCAATGATTTTTGGGTATGACACCAAAACACAGGCAACAAAAGCAAAACCAAAGTGGGATGACATCAAACTAAAAAAATCTTCTTCGTGGCAAAGGAAGCAATTAACAAATGAATAAGTAACTTATGGAATGGGAGAAAATATTTGCAAACCATACTTCTAATAAAGGGTTAATATGCAAAATAAAGAACTCCTACAACTGAATAGCAAAATGTAAGTAACCTGATTAAAATGGGCAAAGGAACTAAAAAGAGATTTCTCCAGAAAAGACATACAAATGGCCAACAGGTATATGAAAAAGTGCTTAACATCAGCAATCATCAGGGAGATGCAAATCAAAATTACAGTGAGGTATCACCTCACCCCAGTGAGGATGAATGTTATCAAAAACAAACCAAAAAAAACAAAAGATAACAAGTGTTGGCAAGGGTGTGGGGAAAAGGGAGCCCAAGTGCACTATCAGTAGGAATGCAAACTGGTGGAGCCGCTATGGAAAACAGTGTGGAGGTTCCTCAAAAAATTAAAAATAGAGGGGTGTGTGGGTGGTGTAGTCGGTTAAACATCCGACTTGGTTTTGGCTCAGGTTGTGATCTCAGGGTCATGAGATGGAACCCCACATCGGCTCCACGCTCAGTGCAGAGTCAGCTTTAGTTTCTCTCTCCCTCTCCCTCTGCTCCTCCCCACCCTCTCTCAAATAAATAAATAAATATTAAAAAAAAAAAAAACAGATGGGGCCCTGGGTGGCTCAGTCGGTTAAGCATCTGACTCCTGATTTTGGCTCAAGTCATCTCACAGTTGTGGGATCAAGCCCTGTGTGGGGCTCTGTGCTCAGCATGGAGTCTGCTTGAGATTCTCTCTCTCTCCCTCTCCCTCTGCCCCTCCCCCTACTCGTGTGCTCTCTCTCTCTCTCTCTCCCTCTCTCTCAAAATAAATAAATAAAATCTAAAAAATAGTAATAAAAATAAAAAAATAAAATAAGAAATAGAATTACCATATGATCCAACAATCTCACTTCCAAGCACATATCCAAAGGAAATAATACCACTATATCAAAGAGATATCTGCGCTCCCATGTTCACTGCAGCATTATTTACAGTTGCCAAGACATGGAAACAACTTAAATGTTTGTTGATGTATAAATGGATATACATGCAATGGAATATTATTCAGCCTAAAAAAAAGATGGAAATCCTGCCATTTGCAACATGGATGAACCTGGAGGGCATTATGCTAAGTGAAATAAGCTAGACACAGAAGGGCAAATACTATGTGACACCACTTATACAAGGAATCTGAAATTGTCAGAGTCATAGAAGCAGAAAGTAGAACTCTGATTGCCAAGACTAAGGGGAGGGGGTACATTTCCCCTCCTCCCAGTCAAAAAGTCAAAAAATACAATGTTTCAGTTATACAGAATCTACTGTACAGCAAGATGCCTATAGCTAACAATACTGTTTGTAAACTTAAAATTAGCTATGAGAGATCTTATGTTGTGTTCTTATCACAAAATAATAACAATAATAATTAAAGAAGTCAGGAGGAAACTTTTGGAGGTGATGGATATGTTTATGGCATAGATTATGATGATGGTCCCATGGGTGTATACTTACTTCAAAATTCGTCAAGTTGTATATTTTAATTATGTTCAGTGTTTTGTATATCATTCATACCTCAATAAGCTGGTTTAAGAAAAAAACTAAAGTCTATCTTAAATTATAAATTAATTAATTAATATTAATTAATTATAGAAATATACATTAATTTAATACTTTTCTGGGAAATATTCAGTATAATCTAAATGAAATATACTAACACAAACAAAATTGTGTATTTCCTTACTGATGTGGCTGAAGATAATAATTTAATTTAGAATCAGCATCCTGAAGACAACTTAAATAAGGTTGGTTCTAGAAACCTTGCTGCTAATTTTCCAAAAAGGATAAATAACACTTAAATCCCTAAGTATATTAAGTATTTCCAAAACCCACAGATGGTATTCTTTCAAAATAACATAAGCCAGGTTCCAGGTTAATGTTAGGTGTATAGATTTTATATTTATTGCATAAAGGAACTATGTCCATATCTTATAATTATTTTATCCAGTACCATGACTAGCACAGTAAACACTTACAGACTAGACTGGAGACATAACCACAAAAGATTACAGGTTATCAAAGGTTTAAGAACATTTCAAAACCGAGGTGCATGATATAAAGTATATGTACTATAGATATAGGAGGTCCCCAAAAGGAGGGGGTGGGAAACTAAACATTCCTGAGTGAACAAAGAAAGAGTAAAGGATGTGATGTGATTAAGCTTTGGAATGTAGATAAACAAAGGAGATGGCAGAGAATATTCTTGATCTAAGGGGGACAATGTGTGGAGGATACGGATGATTAAAGTATATTCAGGGGCACCCGGGTGGCTCAGTCAGTTAAGCATCCAACTCTTGATTTTAGCTCAGGTCATGATCTGAGGGTTGTAAGATCAAGCCCTGGTCAGGCTCTGCAGTGGGCGTGGAGTCTGCTTAAGATTCTCTCTCTCCCTCTCCCTCTGCCCCTCCCCACTGCATGCTCTCTCTCTCTCTCTCTCAAAAAAAAAAAAAAAGGCAGGTTCAGAACACAAAAGTGGTATATCTGGGGGAAAAAAAGAGGGAAGGCTTGTGTTTGGTTAGAGAAGACTGGAAGTAAGTCACAGCTGTACTATAGAAGGAAGATGAATTTTGACAGACTGACTCATTCTTCAACACTGCAACCATCAGACATTGGTAGCTGCCAAGACTGTGAATGAAAGGCAGGTAGTCCTTGACCTCATGGACTTTTTAGTCGAGCAGGACAAATGAGCATTAATCAAATACACACACAACTAAGTATATAAACTGCAAACTGTGGTTAGTCCTAGGAAGGAAGAGCACAGAGTCCTAGGAAGAGCTAACACGGGAACAGGCTCCGTGGGGAGAAAGGGAAACGGGATGGCTCCCCTGAGGAGCATCATCCAAACAATGGAGGAGGGTGCCAGTCGGATGGAGGAAGAGGGCGTCACATGGGAAGAAAAAACAGCCTGTTCAAGGATCAGGAATAACAGAGCAGGGGGAAAAAAGCAACCTGAGGCGAAGCTGGGGAGGTGGGCAGGGCCACTCTTCCCATCCGAGAAGGCCAGGCTAGAGACCATGGCCTTCTTCCCAGGAGCAAGGGGAGGTCATAGAAGGTTCTAAGTAGAAAGCAGTGTGGTTGGGTTTGTGTTTTCATCATTCTTGTTTCGGCAATGTGAGATGGATGGCAGACAGCTGAATCAGGAGGAGAGGTCATCAGAAAGCTATTTGGGTTTTCCAGGTGAGCAACAATGACAGCTTGGCCTAGGATGTCTGTCTATGAGAGGGAAAGAACTGGAGACAGTTCCCCAATATTTAAAAGATAGGGTCAATGAGACTTGGAGATCGAGCAGACTTGAGAGCTGAAGGAGGCCCAAATGTTCCAGACAAAGCTCTCTGTGCAGTTCAAAGGATGATGGCAGGACTTCCTGGGAGAAGGACCAGAGGAGAGGAAGGTCAGTATCAGCCACTTGGAGTAGCAGTCTGTGAAACCCCCATGAGAATGTATCAAACAAGCAGCCAGCTGAGTGCACAGATTTCAAGCCAAAGGACAGGCTAAACTGGAAAGAGAAGCTGATGGAGCCTATCACCCAGGAGGCTGAGGATGAGCTTGCCTGGGAAGAAGACTGGAGTGAAGAAAGAAGTCCACCTTACCCTGCCCTATGCCTGGCTCCAGAAATAGCATGGAGCTCAAAAAATACGTTCTCAATAAACAAACAGGGAGATGCAACCATGAAAGTCAGGACACTTGCTAGGAAACAAGGACAAAGAAATGAAAGTTCCCCTGACCTCCATGTCATCCTGGCTTGGGATGATATAATGAGATTTAAAAGAAAGGGGCGGATTTGTGAGAAATTAACGAAGGAAAGATCAATAAGACCTTTGTCTTGTAATAGAAGAGATGACTGAAATAGAGACCTCGCAGGGCTCTGTATTTAAATTAAATCATCTTAATTATGGTATATTACAATGTTTGTCACCTGAAATTGTTATTTTATTGTTCATCATAATGCCTTACATGATACTCCACAAAGTCCTTCCACACTAATTATCATATTTCATAGTTAACTTTAATATAGCTCTGAAGTTCTGTCATATTGTGCTCTGCATTTATATCCTACTTCAAGGAATTTTGAAGTTTTACCCTTAGTTGTATTCACATTTTAATAGGACTTAAAACTGTAAAACATTGGCCTTTTCTCAAACTTTATAAGACAAAAGAGAAACTGTACATGTGTATTTCAAATACGTTTAAATATTCTGTGTTTAAAAGCCACAGATTGGAAGACCATTATTGTCAACAGCACTATGTAGAGAACAGAATGTCTCTGGTAGATAAGAATAAATACATATACATAATAAATGTGGGTTCTGGCCCCAGTACTGATCCTAATGGCTTCTTACATCTCTGACAATTCCCTCAGTTTCACTATCCCCAATGTCTCCATCTATAAAGGTCAGGAGATGGGCTAATCGGTTGTTCTCATGGTGGGTTCCACAGGACTGGAGAGCCAGATGTGGACATGGCACAGATGTGGGATGAGAGGACAGGCTCTAGAACACCCCCTCACCTCCACTTTTCGCTGTTTTATTTATTAGGACCACCTGCAAGGTTTTACTGAGAAATGGGACTCTTCTTAATTATTAAAATATAATCAGACAAAAAGTTTGAAAACCACTGCCATGAATCCAGGCACTCCCTGAGGGTCTGGTCAGGGGTGACACCTAAACATCCCTACCATCTAAAATACCCACAAGTAATTTCTCACCAAAAGCTGAAAAACCATAAACTAAATGATCTCTAACGTCTCCTCTACCACGTCCATGATCAATTTCATTTAGAGTGAGAGAGACATTCATGTTCCGCAGGACGGATGATCATGGACAGAACTGGAAGCAGCCAAGGACCCAAGTCACAGAACACTCTAACATCCGTCTCCAAGGACAGGAGCCAGCAGAGCATTGCCGGGTAAGGTCTTCTTCTTTGATGTCCAGCACTGTAGCCACAAGAACAGAACGTCCAAGAGACGTTCAGCTTTAACTACTCTGAGGTTGAACACAAATACTACCAAAGTAGTTAAAACCTCCGTGCCTTCCTGGGACATCTTGGAAGACGTCTGGGTATCCAACTGAGACAAAGCCTTCCAGTATCCCTGAAAAGACTAGAGTTACTGGAAATTAACCCAAGGGAGTACAAGATTGAAGATGAATGTCTGATAACCACACTCTGGGGAAAATTAGCTACCTAATTTTTGCACCTTTGGTGAAAGAGCAGCATCTTGCAAAAATCCTCAAATATTAGACAAAGTGACTTCAGGCTCAATCCAGGACAGAGACAGCAAAGAGCACAGAATGTAAACACACACACACACACACACACACACACACACACTGTTAACCAAAAACTGTGACCAAAGTTTCCACCACACTAACCAGCAACTAAGGCATCCTTAGGCCATCGGCTGAACCAGTCAATAGTACATCCTGAAATAAGGGCAGGGAATTTCAACGCTCGATTTCGAAATTTCTCCCCAACAGGTGAAAAGCAGAGGACAATGTGAAGGTTCTGTCGGACCCGACTCATGAAGTAGTCATGCAGGTTCTCATTGGTAGGAGGGCGCCTGGGGTATTCTTTCTTCATGACAGATAGGAGATCACTATTAATTTCATCAATTTCATCACAAGCAAATAGGTTGGAGACCTTCAAAAGAAGAGCAGACACTCAAATTCAGTACAGACACGTGAAAAGAGATCAAAATACATAGCTCAATACATATGATATCTTTCCTCCATTTGTGTTCTTAAACTCACCTTTAGAAAATTAACCAAAGTCTTCATGACACAAACAAATGGAAAGATATTCCACACTCATAGGTTAAAAGATTTAATATTGTTAAAATGTCCATCCTTCCCAAAGTGGTGTAGAGATTCAATGCAATCCCTACCCAGATACCAACAGTATTCTTCACAGAACTAGAACAAACAATCCTAAAATGTGTATGGAACCACAAAAGACCCCAAATAACCAAGGCAATCTTGAAAAAGAAGAACAAACCTGGACATATCACAACCCCGTATTTCAAGATATACTACAGAGCTATAATAAACAAAACAGTATGGTACTGACACAAAAACAGACCTACAGATCAATGGAACAGAAGAGAAAGCACAGAAATAAACCCACACTTACATGTTCAAATAATCTATGACAAAGGAATTGAGAGCATATAATAGGGAAAAGACCAACTCTTCAATAAATGGTGCTGGGAAAACTGGACAGCTACATGCAAAAGAATGAAAATGGACACTCTCTCATTCCATACACAAAAATAAACTAAATAAAGGGCGCCTGGGTGGCTCAGTTGGTTAAGCGACTGCCTTCGGCTCAGGTCATGATCCTGGAGTCCCGGGATCGAGTCCCGCATCGGGCTCCTTGCTCAGCGAGGAGTCTGCTTCTCCCTCTGACCCTCCTCCCTCTCATGCTCTCTGTCTCTCATTCTCTCTGTCTCAAATAAATAAATAAAATCTTAAAAAAAAAATAAATAAATAAACTAAATATGGATTAAAGACCTAAATGTAAGACCTGAAACCATAAAACTCCTAGAAGAAACACAGGCAGTAATTTCTCTGACATCAGCCGTAGAAACATTTTTTCTAGGTGTGTCTTCTCAGGCAAGGGAGACAAAAGCAAAAATAAACTATTGGGACTACAACAAAATAACAAGCTTTTGCACACCCTTTTTTAAAAAAATTAACCAAAGTCCTCAAGATAAGATACCCCATATTTTAAATACACAAATGATTCTATTATTAACTGCAAAGTCATAGCTCTTTAAAGGGGTAAATGGACATATCAAAAATCCAATCAGCTGTTTTATTCTCTAAAACCCAATAGAAAAAGCAATTCTTCCTACTGATTTCCTAATCCCCAATAACAGCACTCACTCAAAAACTCTAATGGAAGGAAAGAGCTCTAAAGTTGGAGGGAATCTGAAGAGTCAAAATGCATGAAGATAAATGAGCTCCTACCTCACCCGATGATAAAACATTGTTCATATATTCCAAAAATGACTCATCCTTAATCTCCTTGTCTGTAAAGATAAAAGTGATTCCTTTGCCTTGCTGCCCCGCCGTTCTATAAAGAATCTTCAAGTCTTCCACCAGATTTGATGTGTTGTAGGATCTAAAGCGATATTGTCATTGTGTCATTAGCTAAACTATTCTGATGGGAAGGAAAGATCCTTATAACAATGCTTTATGCCATTTGGTTAATCAAAAGAAATACTGATGTTGTTTCATCAGATAAGAATTTTATTGTAGGGCGCCTGGGTGGCTCAAACGTTAAGCATCTGCCTTTGACTCAGGTCATGGTCCCAGGATCCTGGGATCGAGCCCCGCATGGGGCTCCCTGCTCAGTGGGGAGTCTGCTTCTCCCTCTCCCACTCCCCCTGCTTGTGTTTCCTCTCTTGCTGTCTCTCTCTGTCAAATAAATGAATAAAATCTTTAAAAAAAAAAAAAGAATTTTATTGTATGTGAATGTTACTGGTTCATTATATTTCCTTGTAAAGATGAAACTGATTTTTAAAAAATTTCTTTCATTTTCTAATAGCTATTCCTTTGAGAATAATAGAGGCACATCTTGGTAAAATTTTGAGTACTTCACCACTCATGAAAATTAAGAGCTATTTTTTCCATTGAGGCATAACTGACATATAACATTATCTTAGTTTCAGGTACACAACATATTTCCATACTTGTATATATTGCAAAATGATCACCATAATAAGTCTAGTTAACATCAAGTCAAGTAACATTATATTTACCTGCAAATATGAAACTGGTTTTTAAACTCCATATTTCATTAACTATTATAATTAATTTTTTACACACAAAATAAAAATCTAGAGTGAAAAGTCAACCTGAAACCAAAATATCATTTTTACCACAACTAAATGTCATCTAAATGGGTATGCTTCATTTTGAAAATATTTGGTGGTAAGGCTAATACAAAAGTCAAATTGGAATGTTTATTACGCACCCATCAGTAATTGGTATTTTTTTTTAAGATTTTTTTTTTATTTGTCAGAGCATGAGCACAAGCAGGGAGAGCGGCAGGCAGAAGCAGGCACCCTGCTAAGCAGGGAGCCCAATGCAGGACTCGATCTCAGGACCTGGGATTATGACCTGAGCTGAAGGCAGACACTTTATGACTGAGCCAGCCAGGCGTCCCTGCAATTGGTATTTTAGAAGATACCTCATAAATTAATCGAAATTAAATCATTTCAAGCTTTAATTATATAGGCTGAGGAAAATGCCCTAATTCAAATGATGCCCTCTTGGGACGCCTGCATGGCTCAGTCAGAAGTGCATATGACTCCAGATTTCAGGGTTTTAAGTTCGAGCCCCACATTGGGTATAGAGGTTACTTAAAAATAAAATTTTTTAAAAAAGTAAAATAAAATAAAATGAAATGAAATCTTTTAAAAAAATGGTGCCCTCTCATCCCCCAACACAATTATTTCATTGCATCTTTGGGTCCCCTGTAAAAGAGTCTTCTGAGCAATCAGTCTCCTGTAATAGAACAGCTGAAAACATGAAATATCCCACTCTAAATCTTCTTTCACTGACAAAAGCAATCCTTTAGTGGAAATCAGCCTGCAGTCATGAAATATTAGAGATCTCCCAAAACAGAGTAGCCCAATACCTCCAAAAGTAAAAATAAAGATATTCCAATCCTGGAGATTCAGATTTACTAAATTATCATTTGAATTTTATGTTATTAAATAAACTCAGAGTTCAGACCACAAGAGCAAATGGCCTTCTGATTTTTTTTAAAGCTACTATTTAACTCTATGTTCTGTGCTTTTTGATCATCTAAAACCTAAATCCTAGAACCAGAAATCCCACCACGATACATCAATATTTTAAGAAAATGTCTGCAGAATTGCAATCTGAGAGATTAGAAAAGAATTTCAAACACGCAGTCCTCCACTGGAGAGAGAAAGAGAGAGAAAGCTTCTCCTGACTTGGGAAAACTTTCAGCCCAGTCCCCTGGATCAAGGGCCCACTGCCTCAAATAATGGCCTGAGCCCTCTAACACATGGCTGTGCTTCCCAAATGTGAGGCTCTTGCTTGCTGAATCTTGGCCACATAGCTATGCAGAGGCTGGGGCAGTAAGATGGTCTCTTGGAGGTGTGAGAAGGCAAAGGCTTTGGCCTTCCTTTTCATCATAATGGAGCATTCCCACTATGACATATGGAGGAACTAACATCACAGAGAGAGGAGCTGCAAGACATTTTTCCTGAGGCAGTATGGTAGAGTGAAAGTCAAGCCAGACCAGAAACCAGAAATACTGTGGTCAATTCCCAGGCAAATCTGGGATTTCAGACAAGTGATAGTCTCAGCTGTAAGATAGGCTAATATTATTATATGCCCTGCTAACTGATAAAGTTGCTTTGAAGACCAAACTAGCCTATGCATATAAAAGTGCTTTGAAAATTATAAGGCTTTATAGGGGCGCCTGGGTGGCTCAGTCGGTTAAGCGTCTGCCTTCGGCTCAGGTCATGATCCCAGAGTCGGGATCGAGCCCTGCATCGGGCTCCCTGCTCGGCGGGAAGCCTGCTTCTCCCTCTCCCACTCCCCCTGCT